CTAAGAATACATTCCTTGCTACATGCAGTAACTGCAGTGGTACACTGTACACTATGAGAAATAATTTATTTGTAATTACTAAAGAATTTAGTAATTTTTTAATACTAAATTCTTTAGTAATTACAAATTTTATAACATAATGTCAAAAATTTTATAACATAACGTCAAGTCTAGTCAAAGGTAAAATTTATAAAGCAACCTGAAACTGTTACTTAAAGGGCAAGCAACAAGTCGCTTTTTTCTGAATTGGAATCAATCTTTTTCTTCAAGTAGAGGAAATGCTTATTAATATCAGCCCGAGTTAGAAGTTAAACTGATCGCATCTTCGCTGGTTTACCGACTAAGAAATATTCTTTCCACGACTACTTTCTCTTCTCTTCATATTTTGTTTTTGAAATTTAGTATTTTCTAAAAAGATTCCCTCTGTATTCGGGGTTCATATTTTTAGTTATAAAATTATACTAAACTAAGGAATTGAATATTTGAATTAACTCATGAAAGTTTTGATAAAAAAAGATAAACAGTTCATGACTTACCAGCTGCATTTATGAAAGTTAAGAAAAAGACATTAAGAAAAAAAGACTAAAAACGATTGAATAAAACATGCATAAAAAACTTTAGTACAAATGTACTTATAGGTGCCGATTTGTAAAAGTATTATTCACGTTTCTTAAACGACACATTATTTAGATTGTTTTTATAATATTTGCAAATCTTGTACCTGTATTCAAAAAAAGCCTGTGAGCAAAAGTATTATCTATATAGCTTCAAAAATGGTTAATTGTATTTAAATTAAAGTTAGGGCTCTGACCCCTCAACAGGTTTTTAGAGACAAGATATGCAAATATATATTTTGAATTTAAAATACATATTGTTAAGGACCTTGCATAACATTTTTTAGGACTCAACAATTCGAGCCAAAATCTGCACTTTTTAACGGTTGATTGTTGACGTTAGTTAGCGCAAGGCGTTAAATAATTTTTTTGAAAAATAAAAAAATATATTTTGAAATAACTTGTAATTGCCCATCTTTTAAGCCTGCATACATGTTAAAAAAACAAAATTGATGAAGTTATTGAGAGTATGTACTAAATACGACTCAACTCCAATAAAGTTTCATAAAACATTTTTAAATTGACAAGATTGTTGTTTTTTAATTATTATAGAACTAAGTAGTAAATTAAGTTGTTATCGGTAAAACGCGAACTCTAACCGCGAACTGCGAACCGGTAAAATGCGAACTTTTTTGCGAACCAAAACATTATATTTTAGAGACCATTATTGTTATGATAAAAATAATAATAAAAAAACTATCCAATTCTTAATTATTTATTTTAAAGCTTTATTTAAAGTAAATTTTTTATTTTTTAACTGTAAAACATTCGTAGAGTGTTGCTACATCGACTATCTTATAGCCTGACTCGTAACGGAATGCTGCTACATCGACTATCTTATAGCCTGACTCGCAACGGAGTGCTGCTAAATCGACTGAGGGTTTGATTTGGGCGGGCAGTCTATCAAATAATTAAAAAAAAAATTATTATATTGTATTTTTTTAAGTTTCACTTAATTTCCTTTTATTTATTTTTAATTAACTTTTTCGCTTAAAAGTCCTTAAAATATACCGTTAAATGAATTATTTAACGGAAATAAAACATTACATCATTAACAACCAATAGGACAAAAAAGTTCGCATTTTACCGGTTCGCAGTTCGCGGTTCGTAGTTCGCATTTTACCTAGTACCGTTATAATCTATGTTCACACAATATAATAAAAAACCCTTCAACACAATAAAATACTTTGTTGATAGAACGGAGTATATTTGCAACCAATCAAATAAATGCTGCAAAGTACAATTTACACTGCGATTTAAACTTTTTTTTTTAAACCAATCAGATTGCTACTTTTAATTGCGTAAACCAATTACCTTATCCAATTTTCTCACATGCTGCAAAGTATAAATTACATTGGCAATTTCCTAATTCTATTTTCTAACAAAATATAACAAAAATATAAAGATCGGCAATTAGTATTAAGCGGGTGTTAGACTTCATAATACCAATATTTACGTTTATTTTTTTACGCCATCACTTGAAGGGGTTAAAATCTTCCTCTGTACTGTCATTCAAAATTTTAGCCTCAAAGGAATTGATTAGTATATCAATATCAAAACTACATAAAAATTTTGAAACTACAGGAAGACCGGCGAGCTGAAAGGCTTTTTTCCAGTATGAAGTTTGATATCTCCCAATTGAAAGCAACTCTTCAGAACATTTATAATAGCACTCTGGAAGCAATTCCATTTGATAAACACGCCATTCATTTCGTACATTATCACAAACCTCGTCCTTTGAAAAAAAGAATTAAAAAACTTTACATAAGTCCAATGATTTACAACTTCTATAGTGAAATTTAAGACCTTGAGAGACTCATTACTTCCTTTTTCTGAAGGATCAAGAAATACTGCATTTTTAAAATAGCTGATTCCCAAAGTAATTTCAATTTTAAATAATTTGTAAATGTTTGATAAGATTCAAGACAATTTTTTCGGAATTTCTTCTCGCCCCATGAGATTTCTAGAGCTTCTAAAAAATGAGATTTGGTCTTTGTGCCAATATCAATTAAATCTAATGGTTTAAAATTTTTTGAATCAATCACATCAATTATCAGCAACTTATTAAAAGATTTTATAGAATTGCTAACATTATTATTAACATATAGAAGCTTAATTTTGACAAACTTGGACATTAGTGCAGCAAGAATTTTTGACGTTTCAAAGTAAATCAGGTGAATTCTAGATTTAATTGATTAAACTGTTTATAAAAATATTTTAAAGTTATTTGCTATGAAGCAATAAAAGAAATATAAGGCATTGATACTTTACAAAATATTTGTAATCCTTTCACATCTTTCAATATCTTTAAAAGTTGATTTAAAAATGTAGTTGTTGGAAGAAAATTTATAAAAATTTTACAAAGATTCTTGTGTTACTCTAAAATCTGAGAACATATTTTTCATTTTCTCTGACGACTTCAAAAGTCTCTCAAACTTAATATTTACATTAGGACCATTCATACTGATATGGAGCATAGATCTTATGTTAAGCTTAAATTTCTCTAAAAGCTCGAGATGTTTTGACAGGTTTTCAGCAGTACAATGGTCTACCACGACGGTTGCTCAGTATGCGATTTTAATACACTTGTGTTTTTTAGGCCAATATTGTACATAACCATCATACTGCTTATTAACTTATTGAATTATAGATTTGTCAAATCTAAATGTAAATTTATATATACTTTGTTTCACTTTGCCTGTATCCTTTGCCAATTTTTGATTCTGGGAACATTGCTTCAAATATTTTACCATCTCCATTGGTTGAGGCAAAAGAATAGTTCAAATATTTTACCATCTCCATTGGTTGAGGCAAAAGAATAATAGACTTGACGCACTTTAAACTATGAATGATTTCAACTTTTAAAATCTCTTCCTCAATGGTGTAGCTAACCTTTGAAACTTATAATTCAAGTATTTTATCTTTATCTTTACTAAATTTTGATTGTCCTTCTCTTTCTTTAAACCTTGATGTTTAAAGTTTGCTAATTGTATTGCTTCTTATCCAACTTCACTTCCACTGAAAATGTTTTTTGACACAATTTGCAATTTGCAGAATACTGATCACCAAGACAAACCTGGATCCAGTTAAACTCAGACTCCAACAATTTATTATATTTTGTTTTTCTCTAGACATCTTATAAATATAAATAAACAGTAACTAAAATAACAGTAAACTATAATTTAACAAAGTAATCTAAAAACTTTTTACAAATTTTTCTATTTTATAGACTGATATATATAAATGATAGATATAGAGGATATATAATTACTGATAACATTCTTATACACACATTTTATAATAAATAACATTGCTATAAATCTATTGTATAAAATTAAAATTTATTCAAAAAGATTTTAGGACAATTTAGAACATAACCCTATAAATTATGACATTTTATGACAAAAAAAAAAAAATTGAAAATTAAGGACATTTCGGGATAGACTGGGAGACCTGATTTTATTGATAATAGATTTCGCGAACTTTAAAATCGTTTTTCTCCATTTCGCGCACCTGTAAAAATAAATACTTCGTGAAGTTAAGTAAAAATAAATAAAGGTATTGAAAATATTTGCTTTATTTTAATTATATATCTCTTACTAAGAACTTAATGGTAAAAAACTTCATTTTTTTTGTTGTAATTGCATTTTGCAATTCATTAAGGAATCAAGATTCACTGTTTGAAAAGTCAAGTCACTATTTGAGGTTGAGAACCACCTAGACAGTTCACTTAAACGATAACTTTAATTTCACTTAAGAATTTTCACTCAAGAATTATTAAAAAAATATAGGCACAAAAAACAGCCAATAAACAACTCAATTGCAAAGTATAAAAGAATATATTCAATTCATATTGCAAGATATTTTACACATAAAAATGAGAGTAACTCATAATCGTTAAAAAAAAAAGGGAAAAAAAAGGAAAAAAAAAAAGATCAAGTCAATACAGTGCAAAATGAATATGTTAAATAGCTAATAAAAACCAACATAGTTAATATAGTTAATGATAATCAATACTTAATTGAAAAAAACAAAAAACAAAAACAAATTAAAAATGAAGTCATTTATAACCCTTTACTTAATAGCATTGTCTATAAACAGAATTGAAAATTATTGAAGTGATCCAAGATATAAACATGGAAAATAAGTACACTGAGAATAACCTTTTAAAACAAAGCGTTTATTATTAACGCCTCTAGCTTATTTTTTACGTTTCTCACATTAACCACAGATAAAATTAAATAACATCGTTCAACATTCATGAACACAGCATGACTAAAATTTAAAACTATGGTAACTGTTTTTGGTATAAATTGAGATTTAATACAATCTATCCCAACGCAATTGATTTCAACTTCTCATAATTATTAATGCCATAAAAAAAAG